TTATACAGTAATTTCCGTAAAGAATGCAATGGTACGTCAAACAATTCAGTATTCGCATGGATAAATGTCTATTATATTGAGAAAGATATAAAAATTTCTTTTTCTTAGATTGGGAAATATTAAGGTGGTGGTATGTGTAAAAATTAGGGAAAAAGTCTTTTTTTAAATATTTCCTGTTTATTTGCAGTGATGGGTATAACCAGCCAAAAATTTCTTCTAAATCATCATTATCAGCAGGACTTGTGAAATAAAGTTATAGAGTGTCTTGTCTATCATTGAGATTGTATTCAGCGAAATAGATACAATAATAAAATAAATGAGGAACTATTTAAAGAAAAAATGCATTTTTATTATTTAGTTATTTGATGTTCTGTTTGCAAATAACAAAACTAAAAGCAAATCTATAAATATAGATCATTAACTAGTGATGTGTGTAAGCATCTAGGAGTCAAAGTAGATGAAAATCTTTTATGCAAGAATCAAATCGAAGCGAAAAACGTGACTATGAAGCTATTACTTTCCTCAAAACATTTTGAAAATATTACAAATGTTACTATAATTTTCAATTACGTTAATGTAATGAAATCTGGGGAAAATGTAAACTTCGGCAAAAAGGACAGACGCTACAGAACAGAACTGCTAAACTGTGTGTAGTTTGAAATGGGACACACAAAGTAATAAGATATTACAAAAGGTAAATTTGTATTCTTTTTTCAGATCAAAATAAGGGAGCAGTTTTTGCTTTTGTTATCTGCAGTAACTCCGCAAAACACCTCTCACTTTGTCAATCAGGATCATTTCCAACTGTTGTTAACTGAAGCGTTAATTCCCTCATGAAAGATTCATAAATATTCTAACTCACTGATGAATATGTAATGACCAAAGTGAAGGTTTGTCTGCCGCATTACCTCCAAAATTCTATTGTGGGGTCAAACACGTATATCTAGTTAGCATTATTTGGTTTACCAATAAAACAAAATATAAGGCAATTGTAACCTGATCATTGTGTTGGATTTGGTATTTACATTAAAGTATGAATGTTGAATTCTTATTCATAAAGTAATTAAAGGACATGCTCCACTATATTCAAATAATTTCTTTACATACCATAACTTTATTTACAATTTTAGCCATAGCGATACCAACCTGTTAATTTCTCTATTACACACTGACTAGGTGCAATCATATGGAATATTTAACCCGTAAATGAAATCAAATTGTTAGGAATAACCATCGAAAGTAATTTAAAATGGGATGCACATGTCTGTAATATAATAGTTAATGCTAGCCATAAATTGTATTCCATCTTAATATATAGAAAAATGGAGCCCCTATCAGTTATCTTTATTGATGTTTAACTTTCTTACATTCGACCCTCGCTAGAATATGCGTGCACAGTATGGCGTAGTTCGCTGTCAAGCAAACAAACTTAATAGAACGAGTGCAAAAAAGAGTACTCAGGATTGTTTTTATTTACGATTTAACTTATGAGGAATTACTTGAGGCCACTGGGCTCCCGTCGCTTGTGGAGAGGAGGAACAAACTCTGACTGTCGTTCGGTAAAAAGCTGTTGGTATCTGAATCTTTCAGAGATATGGTCCCTCCTTGCCCCAAGCTTGGAAGAGTCCTGCAGTTTCAGCACGCTTTATATGAACCCATATATAATACTGAGTGGAGGAAACCATCTGGAATCCCACTCTTGTAAGAATGCTTAATGAACATCATTAATTTACGTATATTCATTAAGCATTCTTACAACTAAATTAATAATAATAATAATAATGATAAATTTCGGCAATTAAATTGAACTAAATATTAAATTGTGATGTGGCAATCTTCGATCCATGGATACTCTTGTAGGAATGCTTAATGAACATTATTAATTTAGGTATATTCATTAAGCATTTTTACAACTGTATTAATAATTATTATAATAAAATTCTGACAATTAAATTAAACTCATTCAGATGGTTTGATGGGATTGGTATAATATTCATTTTACTTCTTATTGGCGTAATGATTTGTTTTCTATGTTTTTGTGCCTTTTTTATGTTCAAAATCTATATTTTTATATTAAATACAGTGATGTTGCAATCTGCAATCCCCACACTTGTAAGAATACTTAATGAACATTATTAATTGAGTTATATTTATTAAGCATTATTACCTTAAAACTTATTTAATAATACTAATGATAAATTTTGGCAATTAAATTAAATTGATTCAGAAAGATTAATGGGCTTTGTATAACTATAATTTTACTTTTTATTGGTGTCAATATTTTTGATCTGTGTGCTTTTTTGATGGTCAATAATTTACTTTTTTAAATTTGGTTTTTTTTTTGTAATATTTTGTAATTGATTTTGTATGCTTCTCTTCTCATTGCTTGCTTCTCTCTATAGTAGCTATAATCGGGACCATTGCCAATTAAGTCATTTGTATTACCAGACATTCTGTAATTTCAATGATTAAAGGTAAAATAAATTTGCATATACAGCCCTCAAAATTAGGGATAAAGCACGCCGGCAAAAAACCGGTTTTTTTTAAATTAGTGTAATTTATTCGTGAAAAGTAGCAGTACGTTTCTGTTGAATTGAGTTTGAAAAGTAAATGCACGTCGGCAATTTTCTCACCGGCGACGGGTGCCTAGACTCCGGCATTTACGCTGGCACTGCCGAACGCCGACGTTAATTTTTTACTTAAGAAATTAAACGAACCTAAATGTATACATAGGCCTACTGATGATAGCTTGATTAAGATTTGGGTTAGATTGCCTTATCTAGGAAAACCAGGTGAGTTCATTTTACGTAGATGTTTAAATAAGGTAAAGAAACATCTTTGATCATTAGAGTAAGAATGCTTTGATCTTTTGTTTAAATTACTGCTATGTCACTTACTAGAGGTAATGTTTTGATTGGTTAAACACTTTTGGTACTAGTGCATATAAGCTTGCTAAAATGGATAATTTTTCATTCCTGATGATGACATAATTAATGTCGAAATATTGAATCCCAACACGATGGCGTGTATTTCAATACTTGGAGTATGTATTATACTTTCTTATTAGAGTTTTAATTATATAATAATTTGAATGATAATGATTTTAATTTTAGTTTTTTTAAGTGCTTTACAAATAATTATTTTTGATATTTCTGTAACATCTTTGGTTGCCAGACATGGGCATTGCCCTCTTTTGAGAAATCCTATCAGGTACTGCTGAGTCAGTTTGTATTTTTGCATTTTTATGTTTGTTTTTGTAAATTTGAAATGGTAAAATAAATTATATATGATATGATACATATAACAACCATGCGGGTATAAAAAAGAATATACACTTGTAAAATTGTATTTTGACGAAGTCTTTGATTGTAGGATAACGAACCTTCATAAAACACTATAAATTTGTCGAGGACAAAAAAACTAATTATTTTCTACATATTAGTAGGCGCTCTCTATAAAATTGATTAAAGTATGCTCTTGACACCCCTAAATTGTCCTATTTTTCAAAGGGTTCTCTCTCTCTCCCCCCACCCCCAATCCCGGACAACTTTCAAACAATTTTGAAGAACACCCAACCATGCCTACTTAGCTTTCATTGGGCATATCCTGATGCCACCCATTGAAAACACAATGTTGATTCTTGCATTTCAAACTAATCAATGAAGAATACTGATAGCACTGTTATACAAAACATCTTGGTTGTTTTTTATTAATTAGTTAAAATATATTGTCTAGTTATATTCAATTTTCTGTTTGTTTCATTTGAATGCACTGATATTTGACATATGCCACTGTTATAAAAGTGTATGTTCAAATAAATTATTTTTATTATTATATAAAAGAAGTAGTACTGGTTTAAACAGGAATAAATTGCAACATCATCGTGTAAATTACATAATTTGAAGGGATTTAATGGTGTAAAATTAAACATTTGCATGATGTACAATAGAAGTGTTAAATTTTAAGTATCACAGAACTTTAGTTCACTTTGTGTTTTAATCACTGACATAAGGAAATAAACAGGAAAAATAAAGGCTTGGCACTGTATGCTACAGTGCATGTTTTAAAAGGAAGTTGGATATGGAATACACAATGTCTATTCTTGCAATATTTACACAGCCTTTCAACTTATGTCTGTATGAACAATACTGATACATAGTATTGTTGAACACAGACATGTTGGTTATGTTCATAAACATTTTACTAGCTTTAAGAAATACCAAATCTTCCTTTGATGGGATTTAATGGTGTATTGTAAAGGTAAGTATATAATTAGAACTGTTTATTATTACTTTTACGGTGGCAGTTGAGACTGAAACAAAAATTGCACAAAATAATTGGCAAATGGAAGTAAATGATTAAACATAAATTGGTGTCTGCAAATGTACTTCTTTCATTAAATGAAGCTCTTATTTAATTCCTCTTTATTCGAATTAATCAAATGGCAAAAATCTAACTATCTGTAGGTGTTGTATGAAATAATTATAATTGTAAAATGTAAAAAAATTATGCAGTAACAGGGCTCCCAAGTCTTTCGGAACTCGCGGGATTGTCCCGGAAATCAGGACAGCCTCCCGCACTCCCACAGGCAAGCAAGAATCTCCCGGAATAAAGCCATATCCCTCAAATTCATATATTTGCATGTTTTCACTGTTTTATTATCAATTTTCAGTGACGATGGGTATCACAATGTACTGCAAAATAATTTTAAATGTTAAAAAAGCTCAGTGACGAATTCAAGAGTAAACCTTCCCCCACTCCCAAATTTTTCAAAACTATTTTAAAAATAAAGTCTGAAAATGCCATTTCCGACCATCTAGAGGTGCCATAATAATAACTCTGTTACCTCATCCCCAACCAACCTGAGGTGGTATAGACCCTATATGTGAAAGCCCCTCTCCCACCCCCTTTCTATTTTGAAATGTTGGATCTGTCACTGCAGATCTCCCAGAATAGAGGGAATTGGTGATGATTGTTTACAGGCGGTCACGTGACCTAACATGGGTAAACATGAAAAAATTTACAGTGCAATAACATAGGAAAAGATAATGTTATGGTTGCGAAAACAACCGCCCACTGTTAACGTGAGAAGTAAATGGCTAGGAAAGGCAATACGATTGTTCAAAATAGTGTTTATTTACTTATCCTAGCGTTTTCCTTGGATTTATGCTTTGAAATTTAAGTAATCCTTCATAAACATATAGCTGGCCATAACATCCACCATCATGCATACCTACCATGCCGTAGATGTGCAGGGGCCTAGGCTTAACATTTCCCAAAAAATCTCAATTAAGGCAAAATTCTTAATTTTAATTTCCAATCAATTTGGTATAGTTTACCGGGACGTATGATGATCTTTACAGCAATAACCAGAGGCGACCGCCATAGTAATCTCCATGTAAAACACCGCACTGCCAGTCGACTGTTTATATCCAACACCTAAGTTACTCTAGGTCATGTGATGCCCATCGCCAAATTAATCTACTTCCAACTTGGGACCCCTGTAGTACATAAATTTTGAATATTGTTACTAGCCTATCAAAAAGACAGAAATTAGTGAAGGCATAGAGGATATGTAATAATATTAATAATAATAATAATAATAGGTAGATTAAATTAAATAAACTCGGTCTGTAAGCACCTGGCAAACCTTTGTGTGATAAATATTTCAATTAAAAATGTTCAACCAATTTAGTTATTGATTTGAGTATTATATACAAGAACTTAAAATATAATACAATATAATTAAATTTAGAAAATAAACATCAAAATTAAATGAGGTTAGGTAGCAGGTTTTTACTTTCTTGTTTATATTAAGGATGCTATAATCAAAATGTCCAAAACAAAAAAGGAATTTTAATACTTTTTTAATCTCTTATTTCTTTCAGATAATTGGTGTTCATTATCAAAAAAGGAGATGGAATTGTGTACTATGTGGGTCATCATATATATGTCCTTCTTACACTTGGCATTGTCATTCAATGTAATACTTTATCCAGACTCAATCATTACTAGTGTCGGCAATAATCCTGTCACTTTTAACTGTACAATACAGTTGGAAACCAATGAAACAACTGTTGAACACTGGATAATATGGTGGAAGGACAACACCCGTATTGTAGACAATGATAATGTATTGACAAGTTCTACCAAGTATAGTGTTCATGGCGTATCATCTGCTGCAATGACTGAATATACACAAATATTGCATGTTAATAGCATTGAAGAAGCTGACCATGGTATGTACACATGCACTTTGGTTTTCGAATCATATCCACCTGGAAATACACGACAGTCTTTGTCATCACATGCTCCAATTATAATAAGGTACATCATTTCTCAGCCTCGCTGTTCTGCCATCTCAAGTAATTATGAAACTGGACAGCAACAGGTAATACTGTTATGTGCATGTTCTCCAAGTGATCCTCCAATAACACTGCACTGGATTAATAATATGGGTGCTTTCTTGACATCAAAATCTCAGGTGCAATTTAACGAACTGTTGGCATTTATACGTACAGTTTCCAATGTGTCTGAATCAAGCAAACAGTTGTTCACATGTAGAGCCACCAGTGCAGAATCCACGGACACAAGAGAATGTGAAATTAGTAATCTGATTTCAACCACTAGTATCGCAGTCACTCAAAAGCCATCAGAACCATTTGATGAGAAATCAACTGTAATCCCTACTAAAACAACCTACAAGGACAAATCTCTTCCACCATTTATTTCAAAAATTTTATCAGATACCCAAAATGTTACAGAGCAAATGAGAACAGATCCTACAGCAAACGTGACTCAAGAAATGTTAATATTTTCTGGTGACAAAAAAACTACTACAATTGCCATTATTGCAGTAGCTGGTGTAATCTTTATAACAGTTTTTATAATATTAGTACTTCTAAAAAAGCGTTTAAATAAAAGAAAATATGAAGAAAGTGAATCGCCAGAAGAAGGAACTGACATCCATAATGGAAATCAGCTTACCAGTATTGAGGTAGGAGATGGTCAGTTAGATGACCAGTGTTCCGCATATAAAAGTTCAGTGTTTGAAAGAGATAAGGATGAAGCTGTTAATTGTTATGCATCCTCAGACCCGAGAAATATGGAGAAATGTCAGAAACCTGTGGCCATGGACAATAATAAGAAAGCCAATAGAGCCAATGGAGGCAATGGTATTTATCCTTTAGAATATAATGGATATAAAAAAGAATCTGTATCACCGAATATGGCAGAAGATCCTACCAAATTTAAGGTAAGTGGCTGGCTGGGAGGTATTGTTCCTGTGCTGAAGACCTTGAGTCATTACTTGCTGATCCTTGAATAAACCCTCAAAATTACAACTACCGGTGAACATGTTATGGACAATGTTTGTATCTATATGTGCATGGTTTGAAGTTAATTTGGGTAGCGTTGCACTGCGGCTGCTGCAGGTCCCCACAGACCCAGCCCCAATTTCCGATTTCCAATTTTAATTAGGACCAATAAAGTATTGGCTGAAAAGCCATTGTTTTTGTTCTGATTTTTTTTTTTTTTTTTCCATATTGTTTTTTCTATCTTTTTCACTGGGTTATTCCACCCAGCACTTTGGTCACTTTCCATGCTTGGATCTTTACCATACTTTGTCGAAGCACAGACCATATAAACGATGTGCCTCCTAATATTTAGTATCAATGTGGATGTGAGGCCCAATGAAAGGGATTTAAGGGCAAACACTCTACACCAGATATCTAAAGAACATAGGTCAATTGATCTGAATGATCAAGGAACAAATTATTATGTTGTAGTGACGATCCAGATTAGGGTGTGAATTTGAGGGTCATTCAAATTTCTGACGTTTTAGACCTACTGTACAGTACCATCCAGAAATCTACTGCCGGTAATCATGTAATTTCCGTGGAAAATATTCATGGAAAATTCAAGCGTCCATATTCTGCGAGTGGTCCATTATGTCATTGTTTAGCATCTACTTCCTGTTAAAAGTCGGAACTCGCTGTGCGTGGTCCACGTTGGACAGCGAGTACATCAGAAAAGTTGATTATTCTAAAGGTGAAGTATTATGTAATCCACAGCACGCCCATTCTCTCTATTATCAGGCGAACAATTAGCGAGTTAGTTTTAAGATGTAAAGTTATTTTACGAACACCGGTAATACAGGCTAATCAAATTTAAAGAATAGATAAGTAGGCCTAATAGGCCTATATTTTTTTTGCAGAATCTAATCGCAATCTCCGCCTTAAAAACAAATAAAACCTCTTTTTATATTCTTATAAAAGTGGGAAAGTCTTCTGTCAGTAAGGTCACTTCTGTAATCAACTTAAAAATGAAACAAAAATTCTCAACTTGTTGAATGTAATTTGTTTTGTAAATTTTAAATAAAGGCTATGACCAGAATATTTTAAGCCACGTTTTTCACTTTTATTACTGATAAATCATTACATTAAAACAAGAATTACCTGGATGACGAGTACTTAGTACAAATACTCAGTTGTGCCTAACACAATTCGTATCGAAATGCGGTCTTAATTTATTTACATAGAGTAGTTATTCTGTATTCACTTTATCTTTTTAGGATCGGAAACAAATATTGTATATACATTATTGTATTAGTTCAAGACAATTAAAGGTCGGAATAACCGATGGATCTTCTTTAAGGTTGGGGACTGGGAACGTCAACCGCCAGCATGGTCGTTTCAGTAATTAACTTACAAGTTAAATGAAAATACCCGACTTGTTAATCTTGAACATACAGTAATTTATTTTGGCTTCATTGTGTTCCAACAGGCTGGGTAGGAGCGCATCGGTTTCGGTAAATCAAAGGAACACCATTTTTGTTTGACTACAGAGACCACCCATGTGCAGAAATTAAATAAGTCTGTAATCTTAACTGGCCTATAATAATACAGTACAGTTAATTAAAAGTTGTTTAATTCTACTGGGGGTTATTTTTTGATTGACAGTAATTTGATTATTATGAAAATAATAATGATAATAATTTTTAGGTCCATGTGTTCCTTGATCTTTTGCAGCTTTGAAAATAATAAAGATATACAGTACGTGCATTTAGATATATATATATATCGCCAGCTGTGTTTTAGCAAAACAAGATTAGAAAATCCTGGTATTTTTTTTCTGTAGTACAGAACGTGATCACTAGAGCGTGAACACTGCGTGTGATGTACTTAACGGGATTAAAATTGCACTAAATTTAATATAATACAATTAAAAATTTACACTGTTAATGTTTTATTGTTAGTAGTTTATTAAAATTATTACTGTACCGATAATTTTTTATTCAAGTAGAATTTAGCATGTAGTTAATCAATGGTATCCCACTCAAAGATACATATCACTGTTCCAATTAGAAGATTACAGCTCGCACAGGCAATTTACGTGTTGATTAAGATGGAATCGTATCTGGTTATTTTATCTTGAGCAATCAACCTCACGCTCGTGGGAAATTTAACACTCAAGAAACTCCGCTGATATGAATACGGATGTTGTATCATTACGATAACAATTATACACAAAAATCATCAGTTGACTTAGGTTAGGTAAAAACTGACGTGAATAATACATTAAAAAATGTTAATTAAAAGAAAAATGTTCGTGATTCTGTTATTAAACAGACGACACAATGAACAACTGTAGTCTATTATCAGCGAATATTCTTATTGTTGTGTAACAAAAAAACACACAGAACACAATTTACAACATTAAATTTATTTCCATACATTTTTACTAATATTTATAAATATTCACAACAATTATTTGATCGATTGAAAAAAAAAAAGATCCAAGATTTTACCATTTGATGCTACAATTTCTGAAATTCAATTCAATTTATATTTCTCTACATATATTTAATTTTCATACGAACCGGAACACAGTTAAAATAATGTTTGATGTCCGTGTGTGTCTACCAGCATATCGATGAAAGTACAAAGTTTATTCCCAGTTGCATTGTTCCGTAATAACAACAGGCTCTAGCTTTTGTCTAGCTGATAAACAACACATACCAATTTGTTGAATGTAAAAATCCCTAGGCAGTTCATATAAGACACGAATTACTCAATGCCTTTAACGGTTGACTGAATATGGGTGGTCTTATTACTAACTAATTAACCGCGTGTCACCCGAATTTCATAGGCGGAAAAACCGCGAGTGGATGGCTAATGATTTCTGGATGGTACTAAATATCACAAACACCTAATCAATGGGTCTAAATCTCAGTTTCGCCACCTGTGAGTCGCGACCCAATGTTTGGGTTGCGAAGAAATTTTGATGAGTTGTGCAATGGCTTAAAAAAAATATTTTTTTATACTTTATTTTTTCTTTTGAAAATAGCTGTTGTTTTTGTTTTAATTTATTTTTCTTCTTACATCCCATTTTTCTTTTTTTGCACAGTGTCTCTGACCGGCAGTATGGTCATTTTCCATGCTTGAATCTTCTTAATTGTCCAAGCAAAGACCATATCAATGATGTGCATATCAAAACATGATATCATTCTACATAATTTGAATATTAATAGCAGTCATAGTTCCACGTTTCCCTGATATGGAGTTGGTGTTTATGTTTTACTTTACGCTAGACTTTTTAAATGAGTCTTTATTGTTTGTAATTTCAACATCAATTCTCATTATGGCAATGATTAAAAGCCCTATGTTCTGTTGTAGAAACATACATAGTAAATATAGTTATTATTATTACCATTATTATCATTATTATTATTATTAAAAGTTGATAATTATTTTGATGTACTTTGTTATAACTGTGCATGAGGAAGATTTAATAAGTTTGGAATACCATAGCATGAAAATACAGTACTAACAATGTATATTATTAAATTTGCAGACTGATGACATGAAAGATGCGGTGACACTATTACGAAATGAGGACACAAATAGTGATGCTCTTCTTATGACAGAGAATTATATGTATGTGTCTGCAGATGAGGTGACAACTCAGAGAAACACAGTAAGACCAACAACTTACAATTTAGATTTTCTGATACATAAACAAGTGGTTAAGAGAAGCTTAAAACAAACAAAAAAAAAAGCATTTCTATTTCCATTTGTATGCTAAAGAAAATGTTTCCATTCTATTCTACATCGGCTGATCATAAGTTGTTTATACCTCCACAACAGAGATACAGTATATTTTCATATTCTTGACAGCAATTTGACCTCTGAAAGGTCATTGTTTGTCAAAAAACAAGGGCCTAAGACGACTGAAAAGCGGAGTTTCCTCCTTTCGTTCTGCTGGGTAAAATCAGTTACTTTAGGCGACATTTGTAGACTAACCTACACGTACTGTACCAACATCTGCATGTCGTGCTAGCCTTATCCTACTCTAGGCCTAGACTAGCTAGGATGGTATAGGCCTAGCCTTGAAGGGACGAAGGTCCCAATGAAAAACAACGTCGCTCCTTGATAGCTAACATTGTCTATTTAACATCACAATAATTCATTATTAGACCTATAGTTGTTTTTTGAATTGTACTTCACAAATCTAAGCCGATACCTCGCACAACTTGTTAATGTCTCGTATCTATTGTCGGGACGTCATGGTTCGCTGGCTCACACTTGTGATGTCTCGCACTTGTGATCAAATAACACGCTGGCTCGCACTTTGGCAACACTCTTTGTCAGTCAACTCGCCCCTAGAAAACCCACCCTTGGAAACAATTTCCCCATAAAAAATGTACACTTCCTAGACCATGCAGTTTTCAAAATAAAAATTGTAACCTCTGGTAATTAACTACATTTTCCACATACATAGAAATTTTTGAAACTTTATTTAAAAAAACCTAAACCATAATTCATCACTATAGACACTTTTTGACAAAAATGAAAAATTACGACTTTGTTACCCAATGAGAAGTGTTCTAATATAGACAATGGGTCGCGTCTCATATTATTTGATATATTTTTATTATTCATTATTTTCACTTGACTCGCATAAATAATTTTGTTTGAAGAACATTTATATGCAGTTGTACTTTGCAGCACTTCACTTCAATTTGCAATTTCTAGTATATATAAATATTGACTGCTCACGAGGGCAATGGTGAAATCTATTGCCCCAAGTTGATGTGGAGAACGGAGAGCTACTGCCTTCCCAAAGGCCGAAGGCCCGAAGTATAGTAGTATAGGCTACGGTCTCCACATCACTTTGGGGCTATATATTTCACCCTTCCCCAAAACTAAAGCGATATTTGTTTTACATATCTCATACGTAGATTCTACAAGGCTTAAACAAAGTAATGAAAAGAGTAGGCCTACCCACCAAGTAGACCTAGGCTTACTTCTTATTGGCCTACTAGGCAATCATAGAGCTTATCTAGCTCTTCTTTGCTCATTTCCTCAATATCAACAGCGTCCACCGTCTTGCAATATTTGTTGAATATCGACAAGACATATTAAATTTGTCTTTTGTTGCTTTTGCTATTGGCTTCATCAAGAAGTAATGATAGACCTACAGTAGTCCTTCTTCATCCAGGAGCTCGAACCGACCAGCCTCTATGTTTGTTTATCGTCTACTTGCTGATCCGTGGCACAGTCAAGGGCCAATCTGTCTTGTCATAGAGGTTGCAGTTCCCTTTATTGTCAGTGATGTTATAAGTGGGGCCTAAAGATTACCATGGAAATTACATATCGTGAAATGGCAAAAAAGTACTATCATTTAGGGTGATGTACTTTTTTCCCAGGGAAAAAATTAACTATCATTCTAACCTACATCGAGTGATGGTGAAGTTATTGCCCGCATCTTAAGCAATCAGAGGCTTAGAATCTTGTATGTTGTACAGTGCCGGATTAACCATTAGGCAAATAAGGCACAAGTCTTGTGGGCCAGGTGAAAATGATGGGCCATCAAAAGTTGGACTGCAATATTATTTATTTATTGATAGTGTTATAACCACAGGCGCCCATCACGATAAGTATTTTTTCCAACAGTTTTGTTGCCTATGTTTCATAAGGCTGTATGCTACCAACATTGGAGAGAGCAAATAGACGGTGTAGACCAGTTACCATTGAATAAGTACTCACGGTAGCTGGGGTTTTTACATTTCGTAATTATTACCATGGGGTCCATTCAATTAACATTTTTGGGCCATTTCCAAAATGTGCCTTGAGGCCAGACGATGCTTAATCCGGCACTGATGCTGTATATAATACAATATACCTCATACATATTAAGTAGTAACAATTTCATTGTTCAATTACACCTGGTAAGAGATGCGATAGTTTTTACTACTTCCCTGCGCATGCCAGATTTATGTGTATGCAGGGGAAAGAACTACCTAAAATTGTACCCGTTAATACATGAGCACTGTATGCGTATAATGGAATGTGGTTGGTTTGCAGTGCAATATTTATGAGATATACTAGTAAAACAAATACAACATGGTAGAGAATGGTTTGAGGTGAGGTAAAGCAGTGAATTCTACTACTTTCCTATTGGATGAATGGGCAACCTCCCTCCGCATTCACATCAGGAGGTAGATTCCAACCATCCAACACCTCGAGAAGTTCACTACTGTTCTTCACCTAGCCATGTTGTATTTGTAAATTCACCACTATTTGTTAGCAGGATTATAAGAAAACTATGGATCATCATAAAACTTAGTGGTACATAATTTTCTATTATGAAAAAAAACTATTAAATATTAAGATGAAAAGGTCATATCAAGGTCAGAGAAAGATAAAATTTCAAATTAATAACTTGATGTGGCAGAGTTACTGCATGCATTATCGAGTGCCTACAGTATTCTATTTATTTATATTTATCTTCTTGTATTAAATTTTCAGGAAAAGGCTGATATGCTTAATACAGCATGTTCACCAAATGAAGATGACATGAAAGGAAATGTAGTTAATACAAATGATGATCCTTATCCTATGGAAGAAAATATGATGTATGTGTCTGCTGATGAAGTGAAGTTAAGTCAGAGACAACCAGTAAGAGCATTCATAAAAATATTATGCATTAATTGTTGAAGTTTGCATTGTATGTGTCACATAAATAGCAGATGAACAACTGACAGTTGTCGTGGGTGTTAGTGTAGAAGGGATATCAGACCATAGAGAAAATAGACAGACAATGGACCAGCTCCTTTCCAGAAGATGACTAGTTTTCTCATAAATATTACTTCAAAAAGAACAGTAAAAAACAATGTTTATTTATGATCTAAATTGTTTGCTCTTTATTCTTTAGGCTCTAACCCAAACCCTCAAGATAATGAAATGCTTTAATGTAGCTTAATCATTTTAAAAGAAAAAACAATAAAGAGGTTGTCTTATTTGAATTTTGTAGGTCATGCATTATCAAGCAGAAAGTGGTGACATCTACGCTGAAGTTGTAAAGTCAAAAACATGAACGATAATATGTCTCTGATAAAAGCACCATCTGTAGCGGAACATAATAATAAACATACAAGATACGGTACATTTCAATTTCAATGGAGTCTACCAATATGCAGGAAGCACAAAAACAATGGATTGTAGATTATGTTAATATTAGAGTATTTGATATGCCTATTACAATTGTTTCTCCAGAAAAAAAAATGATATGTTGTACAAATAACTTTTCTAAGACACTGAAGGTGTGTTTGACTAAACCTCATTGACTAACAATATACAGATTTATATTTCAAAAATGGAAGTAAGGGGTGTTAAAATCCAGATAAAATTGACAAATCAGTATTGTTATATAAAGAATGATAAATGTACAAATTAACTTATGTGGCATTTTGGTTAATTTCTAAGGAAATAACTATTGTAAATTGATGTCATAGATTTTTAGTGTGATTAAGAATATAGAAATTTAAATGATATAATATTTAGCATTCATTATATCATTGTCATACATGTTGATAAAAAAAAAGGAAAATATATTTGAAATACTCTACTTAAATAGAGAATAGCTTTATATCTTTGTAACCTCAAAATGAGTCATGTTACACCATGCAATGAATTGTCCACATAATAGGAAGTGTTTCCTGTATTTTTGACAATCGGTTTTTATTATTTTCTTAGTTAAATATTAGGTGCAACCATTATAATGCATTGTTGGTATATTAGTCTTTATACAATCAGTTGATAAAATTAATGATTTTGAAAAGCAGAAAAAGAATGATTCACAATAAATTAAATAGATAAAAATTACATAAAAATGGAATCTGTGGTATTTAAGCTTTGCTAATTAATTAAAAATCAATAGTGTACACTAGACAATCCTACACTAGTAATTAGGTTTAAATTTTTCACATAAATAAAATAGATGAGCAGTACTGGGTAAAGACAACTTGATTTCTTGCTTCAAACAAGGTATCCATTCATAGAAGTCTTATGAAGATAAGCCTATCCAAAGTGAACATAAAAGGGTCAGGGACCAGGACATACCTTCAACTCAATTGACAAAGATAGAAAAATATTAAATAGAGAAACGATGTATACATAGTAGGCCTTAGAACGTAAAAAAGTGTAAATTACAAATAAGCTTAATGAATGTATGATGTAAGTAATCTGTTAATTATGAATAAAATTAATGTAAAATACAAAAGAATAAAGGAAGAATAGGAAAGAAACTTGGAGCGGCTAAAATATTTTCCGAAAATAAACAATAATAATAAATTTTGTAGTAATTTAGTCATGTAATTGTGCCCTATTGCTTGAAAACATTATTGGATAAATTACCCCATCCCCACCCCTACCCCAAGATCCCCATCCAAGGACTCAGAATCTACTACATACTGTCAATGCATACCTTACCACGAAACAGTAGACACGTTTAAATGATGACAAATAGCCCAAATCAGTAGTGCGCAGCCAACAAATATCAGATAAGATCTTTGAGGCTCAAATTCTTAGCCTCCTGTTATTTACAAATTCTAAAGTTTGTGTGTTGTATATACAGTAAAGATTTTTTTGGAAAATTTCCTTAAAAACTAGACTATTCTACACTGCTATATGATTTTGATTTTTTTTAAATTGAAAAATTGAAAAAAAAAAGTTAAAAAAATGGAGATTTTCAAACTATCTTTTTTCTATGCTGATTTACCAATCTCGACATTAAATTCCCTCCATACATTACATGGCTGCATAGGAACCTTAGCCCTTGCTTTTACCCTAGAGTATAACACAAGGAAAATAGTCACTACAAACATGAGCAAGTGTTATGGTATGCTACAATGCTTCCTTTAAAAAACGCAAGTCGGTGACACAATAGTTTTGAACAATAGCTTTGGAATGTACAATGTCTATACCAAGAATACTGCATAGCCATTCAACTATGGTTGGTACGAAGAAGTACCAATTCACAGTATTGTGTAAAAAGTGAGCAGGATATTACTGGTTTTAGTAGTAGAAAAACTGACAAGTCCTCATGTAACTTAACAAATTTAAGGGGGATTGAATGGTAAATTTAGGTAAGTAAAATGTTCATTATATCACTATATTATTAGAAGAGGATCTAGTTAACACCATGATCTCCTTTAGGCCTATTAAGCAATTGACAGTGTATTCAAATACTGTAAAATACTGTACATTCACTAGCCACACTAATTACCTAACTGAACTGAGTTTATTATTAAACACGGGTCATTCTGATTATTTAGTTAATATTTGTACTTTTTAGTGTTGCCCAATGCTACTGTGTTCAGAATGTATTCTGTAATATTTGTGTAATTATGAATTGAATAATGCTAAAATAAAACCAAGCAAACTTCAATTATATTTACATGGAGGACACTTGCTTAGTTATTTGTTCCCCCTGAATGTGTTTGATTGGTGTGGATCGAAATGATATTTTCTAATCAAATAAATAAGTTTTGAAAGTCGATACATTTCATAAAATGTTGATCAGAATTTTAAACAATACCTCAACTGACCAGCAGTACCACAGACTATACAGTTTTTTCCAATTTATGCAGCGCAACATCCTTTTTCGGCCAAATATATCAAAGTGTTTAACATTTTCACTGCCAGTTTAGAGTATACTTGTTACAGGGTGTGCTGGAGTTGCTAACAAGTGTACCGGTCAAAAACAGTGCAACAGTGGCAGTCTGAATGGATCATTGTTGTGGCATTGCGTTCTCCATAGAATTGCATCAGGCGCAGTTGGGCAGTTCGTGCCCGGCTTTTAATTGCAACATTTCATTTTATACTGCACGACAGGATCTTGAGTGTTGGCCTAAGGGTCCATCTATGAACTTTTAACCTCAAACTCTTTTATTCAGATAAAATTATAGTTTTTACCCCCCCCCCCCCCCCCCCGAGGATATTTCAAAACTAAAATTCATTAAACAATGTAAAAAATATACATACATACATACTGTACATACATTGTACATACTGTACATACATTGTAGGATCCAAATTACATATTATTGTTCAGGGTGTAATTAACTTTAAACACGGTAGATATAATATCACAATTAACGCAATAAACTGATTTTGCTTCTGATTCAAGTTCTGATAAAAGAATGAACTGTTAGGCCAGGACTTTATCCTTTATATTTAAATTTAACATCTACTGTACTGTACTACACTATAGTGTCGTCACTCAATGACGTGTAATCGAAACTATTCCAACAACTTCCAACAAGATTATATATTTCTAAATTTTACATAAATTTTATTATTAATATTAGACTAAGAGTCAACAACAATAGTTAAACAAAAAATATAAACTTATGCTATGTGTGGGTTTACTGCAAAATAATGAATGGAAAATATTAACTTCTTTAAAAGGTATAAAATATAAACTGGTTTGAATAGAAGCTAACAAATACATTACAGCATTTATATAGCGCTATCTTCATGAAGATCAGAGCGCTCTAAGCATAGACTTAACAGCTCATTCAGTAACTTACTTCTCTCCTACGGGCCTCTTCACTGGGTAACTGCCTACTCGTCTCGAAGGATGTAAAATAAATAATTAAATAATTCTTGATTTATATTGCTAGAACTTCAAGGCGCTTAACTACAACAAACAAAGAAAAGAATATAAAACATAAACTAAATTCACAGACAGTAATATATAAAACAAGACCTCCACCTCCATAACCATAGGTGAGCATGCCGTTCGAACCAGCTCCTATATTATGGTTGTACATTTCGGCACCCCTGCCTTAATAACCGCTCTGCCATTTGACTTGTCGATATGGCTTTCATCATTATTTCTTTCAGATATCTGGTGTTGAGTTTTGAAAAGAGAGATGGAATGTTGTATTACGTTGGGCATTTTAACAATGATGTCCATTCAAATGGTTATGTCATATAATGTTAAAATTTTTCCAGAATCCACCACTACCGAAGTTGGAACTGATTCAGTCGAATTCACATGCAGAATACAGTTGACAGAACTAGAAGCAATGAGTCCACATTGGATAATATGGTGGAAGGACAACACCAAAATTGCAGACAATGATACTGTATTGATAAATTCTTCCAAGTACAGTGTTCGTGGATTATCATCTGCTTCAAACGTTGACTACATACAGATTTTACAAGTTAATGGAATTGAAGAAACTGATCATGGCATACACACATGTACTTTGGTTTTCACAAACATCAGTATTTCATCAGGTTCTACACTTACAATAAGGAACTTTATTTCTCAACCTGTCTGTTCCAGTACTCTAACTGAATCTGAAACTGGACAGCAACAGCTGACATTAATCTGTACAAGTTTACCAGGTGATCCTCCAATAGTACTTCACTGGATTGATAATGAAGTTAATAAAACTTCAATAACACAACAGAATCAAAATGAACCAGTGACATTATCATATACAGTTTCCATAGAATCTTTATCAAGCAATCTGAGGTTTACATGTAGAGCTAAAAATACAGTATCAACAGACACAAAGGAATGTGTTATTGTCAATCTCCCTTCAATGACAATGACACCAACCACTAGTACTACAGTTTCTCAAAAGTTATCAGTATCACAGACAGTTGATGAGAGAGCACCAACCATTAGCATTACAGTTTCCCCAAAGCTATCAGTGTCAGAGACTATTGATGGGACATCAACTGCAATTCTAACTAAAACCACCAACAAAGCCATATCTCATTCACCAATTACACTGAATGTTACCAGTACATCACATGCCACTAAACCAACATCTAAAGAACAAAATGATATAACAACATCCATTAATGTAGAAGCAGAGACATCATTACCACATACGTATAGTACATCTGAAAAGTTAAGTCCTTCTAGTAATAACAACACTGTAATAATCACAATATTTGCAATCCTAGCTGGAGTAATCCTTATGACAGTCTTCATAGCAATGTTACTGCTTTTAAGAACACATATTGAAAAAAAGAAAAATGAAGAGACTCATTTCAAGATGTGCGCAAGAGAGAATTCAGTACACTCCAGTAGTGAGATTGAACATCCAGAAGGAGAGACTGACATGCATATAAATGAAAACCAAGACCATCGGCTTATTACCATTGAGTTTGGAGACGATCAATTAGGTTGTGCAATGTATAAAAATTCAATATATGAAACAAATATGGATGATCCTGATCCGTTTTATGCAGCAGTTGGCAAGGGAAATGTTGAAGAAACTCAAGAAAATGCTGTCACTGATGATCCTAATAAAACCAAAGGTATTTATCCTTTAGAGGATAATCCAGAATACATGTCTATTGAAGACACAGCATTAAAAAAAGAAACAGCATTGAAAAAAGCAACTGCACCACCAATTAAAGCAGAAAAACCCACAAAATTTAAGGTAATTTGATCATTATTGCAATTTTACACTATTTCATACTCAATGGTTTAATGGTTTTAAATTTAAGAACAAGATAAAAAATGTAACTATGTGCTATTAAAACAAGTGTACAGTATGTATGGAAATGTAAAGTGCCAAAGAAAATAATAATAAAAATATTTAGATGTAATTTCCCTTGCCAAGCCAGTCTCACACAAAACCAGAGTATACAGTATGCCCTAGTCACTACCAGGGATTGATCTAAATGAAGCCTGGTCAGCACCTGTTGAGTCTCGGCCACCCCAGACTCTGGCGACTCATATCCTGAATAAAGTGTAATAAAACTCAATGGCCTCTCGTAATGTCAGGTGTTTCACAAAATGTATTGTAATGCATCAATGCAAATAATTCAATTCCTATTACCTGTATAAACATTTTGTTATGGTAAAAGTGAACTTCTACTTCAAATACCAACATACAATAACTGCAGTACTTCCTGAAGTGACTAATAAAGGAAATATCACAATCTATTCTAATATGGTATCTATAAATCAATCTTTTTGAGTAAGCTGAAGTTGGTAGGACCTGGTACTACATTGCATTTTACAATCTGTTATTGCCAATGCCCCTTTTTCTAGGAAAATTGTAATTCCTCATCTACTGTACATTTTGATGACTTGGCAACAGGCTCGAGCCTTTGGACGACAGCTTTCTGGGCTAAGCTCCACCTAATTTTTACAATGCCTGCGCATGTCTAATTATTCATCGAGCCCAACTGTCTTTTCGATTACAATTTTATGGAAAAAATTTTAATATTTTTAATGGTTTTGCCACATTGACTAACAAACACCTAAAGAATTTCAGAAAGAAAATTATTGAGGATGTAATAGTTAAAGCCCTGTTCCCAACAAAATTTCACTAAAAAAAGAATTTTTTTTTTAAAGGCATGCATTACTCTAATTATTATAAAAATCATGGAAAATATTGCCATAAATTTTAGTTTTATGCAAAAGAATAAAAAAATGAGAAATACAGACTATTTCTCATAGGAGATTACCATTTTCTCGATAAATTCTTCGTTACTAGGCAAATTCAGAGGTCGTAGATCCCATCCGCTGGAATGCTCTCGCTTTTGTGTATACTTTATACAGTCAATAAAGTGCACCCTCTCTAATGAGAATAGTTTATGTAGTTCGCATTTCGCACACTGCGGTTGATAAAGTAGGCCTGAGATGTTTGTTTAAGCGTCAAAATCTTGGTCAGAATCATTTTTTAATGGATTTGAAATAATTCCTATGAAATATAATGTTGGCTGTTTTTATGTGTGATAACAGACCCTAAATCGAGATAAGGCTAGTGTCGTGAGTCGGACAAAAATGTCAATGAGAAGATCATAGACGGAATACGTTGTTAAGAACGTTATTGGAACACAACGGAAATGTGAACGAAATATACAGTAAAATAAGAACCAAATAAAAAATAAAAAACCCCTGTAACACAAAGAAACAGAGAATAGAGTAAATTTATCATATGCCTCAGCAATATATCGCATAAAACAATGTCTCAAATTATCTCAATTAATCAGTATAAACTTCTAATAATATCTTGTGAGCCTCTGCTCACAAGCATAATATTAATGATCATATTAAAACAACAATACAGTACTCATTACTGTCTCTCGTGTCATTACTAATACATCATTCTAATTATAAATCTCATGCTTAACTTTACTTTAGGAAGCATTCCTGTTATAAGTTCTTATTGTAAGTTAACAATTACAATCATCCATGCAAACGCATCAACTAGTACACAGGGCTTAGATTATCTCAATTACTCTAGCCAAATAATCTTAAAGCATATAAATAATATAACAAGAATAAATCATAAACAATTGAATTATAACCGCACCTGCAATGCACTCCTATAGCACTATTATCAGGCAAATACCTCTTGTTCTCATTAATGTAGAAATCTGATAAAAATGAATATAACTACTTCTAATACAATGCCAAGTAATCTTACATTAAAAGCACTTGCGTTATCAATAAAATATAGTTAACTATTATAATCATAGAATATATTCAACAGTATCAATGGCATCAAAATAAAAATAACCTAATAACAAATATGATCAAACCACGATCATAAACATCGTCATTATATCGATAATTATCGTCGTAAAATAAGTAATAAAATCATTCATCGTAAGTAACATAGTAATAAGCATTTAAAATAATGAATATCCATCAAATAAAAGATCGTATAATCAAACGAAATCATAGTAGAAAGCTAATCTACAGCGCTACCCGATCGTAACATGGGCGCAGCCATCTTGTTTGTTTACGTACAACGCCCTCTATTGACGTGAGTAAATAATTATCAAACAAACAGTGCCTTGAGCAAAGTTTATGTCGCCCAGAGGCAAACACATGTGCACTCTTCTTATCAGTGAAATACGAATACCCAAGCCGATAGATAAACGATTACCAGCAAGGCCTAACAAAGCGCAATTTACGAAATCGTAACTTGGAAGAAAATTTAGATATCATCTAGTAGTCAATACATATAATAAGTAAGATCGTTACTTGGCTGAAAATCATCAATATTTCGATACATACTGTGTAACTAGAATCAGTGCTAGGCTAAGCCAGCAATGTACAGAACTGATTGCTATTTTACAACATATCTTTCCTATACTTAGCATAGCAGTAGTTTACGATAAAATACTTCATTAAATAAAAGAATATCATGGAATAAATAAGTTTATAACAATAATTAACACTAAATATGAGTTATGAGTTACAACATACCGGAAAACTTCGGACACAATATCAAACTCTGCAATCTGTTACAATCTGTTTTTCTTCTCTGCCCATAGACACGTCTTGTCTCTCTCGTGGCAGGTTCTCAACTTACTTAGCTTGTTTAAAGACGACGTGCAAGTCGTATTACACAGACGCTAAGAGAATTAACACTCCGCGAATATCCAAACAAAGGGACATAAACAGTAAATAAATATCCCTCCCCAAAATAAAATAGACCCTAAATAAAAAAGCGAATTCCAGTCTCTGACACTAGACCTACCCTAGCAGTGTTGGATAGGCTAATGTTTCCGGCGCTTTTGCAAAATCAAACATGAAAAATTCATCCGCATTTATTTTTTGTGTAGAACACAAAAAATCAAATTTTAGTCTTATTTTACTTTTTTTTCATGTTTAGGAATGTGTAAAATTAGTTAAACTAGCAATTTATATTAGACCAATTGGAGAAAAAATAATATAATCCAAAATGCTGATATATAATAATACAATTAATGCAATTACCTATCATCAGTATAAATGTTATACTCCAAAATAATTGTATAGATAAAAAGAAAGAAAATTGTTGAGGATGCAATATTTAAGCATTTAAAGTCAATATGACAATTTGAGTGGCTGAGTATGTTGATATATACAGTAAAAAAATATTAGATCAATTGCAGAAAAAAATAATATAATCCAAAATGCTGATAAATTATAATACAATGCAATTACCTATCATCAGTATAAATTTTATACTCCAAATAATTGTATCAAAGGAATTGTATGCAATATTTAAGCATACTGAACAATGATACAGATTGAAAAATGTTAATCTTGGTTAATGTTATATATTTCTATTGTATTGTTGACAAGAACCTCACTCTATATTCATTTTTAGGTTAAAAATTATCCAGCACCTAATGGAGACATGTACGCACAAGTCGACAGGTCATCAATTTCATCATCTGATAGACTGAGCACCATTATGAATGAGGAAGACAGAGTAAGTGAAAGAAATCAGAAGAAAAATATGATAGACTATAAAGTGATAAGGAAAAGAAAAATATTATTTTAAGAAAAAATCTCTATTGAAGGTATATTTTCCCATGCAAATACCCAAACATCATAAAAATCATTTTTTTAATTAAATTGCTTATTTTGAAGTAACATAAAAGTTATCAACTTGAACATAAACTAGTGTATTTAAAAAATGTTTACCCATAATTTTACAGCGAAAAATGATACAAACACTTCCAGTCACTGGAAGTGTTATACTATTTTATTATTCAGTATATTAAAAATCAGGGTACACAATTTTTTTAATTCAATAATTTCTATGCTCAACTCAATAATTTGTATGTTATTGCAAAATGAGTAAGTTAATTTCAAAATAATTTTTCATGATTGTTTGTCATATTCAGGGGACAATACATATTTAATGTTAGAGTATTTTAATTGTTTTTACTGTTCAAATAACTGACAATAACTTCATTCTACATATTTGTTGATTAGGTGAATATTTATCGAGCACCTAATGGTGACATGTACGCACAAGTCGACAAGTCCTCAAATCCAAAATCAGACCGACTTAGTACACTTAATAATGAAGAAAACAAAGTAATTGAAAGAAATCAGAAGGAGAAAATGATTCTCTAAGATTAAGCGACAAAAAAAAAAAAAATCTTTGTTAATGTTTGAGTATTTTAATTGTTTGATTTTACTGTTCTAATTGACATTCTACATACTTGTATTATAGGTGAAAAATTATCCGGCACCTAACGGAGATATGTACCCCCAAGTCGACAGGTCAATATCTGATCGACTTAGCACACTTTTAATTAACGAAGAGCAAGAGAGTGTAAGACGAAAGAAATCAGAAGGAAAAAATGATAAACTAAGAGATGAGAAAAAGGAAAATATTGGCGTTTCGAAGAAATCCTCCAGATTCATTGACAATGATGACACTTATACTACAATATCGGAGATAGCTCAGAACGGTGATGGCGAGGAGGAAACAGATGAGTTCACGGCGGCCGAAAATGAAGAAGATAATAAACATGAAGAAGATAATGTATCCAGAACGTCAGTTGGTTCTTCCGGATCCATTCACTATGAAGTGGACAGTAATGCTCTTTACACAAGAGTTTTGAAATCCCAGAAATCAACAACAGACTAGAGAAATTATACAGAATATTTGTTACAATTTATTTTAACCTAGGAATAGCATTTCCTTCCGAGGAAGCTTATCCCTAATCAATACTCATAATACAGTTACTGATTTTGTTCTGCTAGTCATCATAATGAAGACACTTGGTTGTCATTGACCATGAGAATGGTTGACATAAATATATACAGCCATTGTGAGAGATTTAAAATTTATTTCTTTTTTATAAATGAATGAATACCTATCATCCAAGGTCAAACCCTTAACAGAACCCTAGTAGGACCCATATTAAGGACCCACGTTACCAAAAAAGTGTCCCATTAAAGGAAGTGGTGTCCCCACAATAGAGGTTGGCCATTGTGTTAGAGATATACTTCCCTTCGTTTAATGGCCTGAAAATTAGCATCCTCTTAATAAGGGTGTCCCAAAGGAAGGGTTTTACTGTATTTTAAATACTATTTTTTTTTTTAATGAATATAATATATTTAAGAATATAGACTCTTTATTGACTGATTTACTTGTTTTTTGTTTTTTTTTCTACATTAAACACATTTAACTTGTATTACCACCTGTGATTATTACTTTACATGGTACTTTAATATTATTTAATATATTATTAAGATATTGCATTGTACATAGTTAATATATTGTCCAGGATTAAGATTAATTTTTATATATAAATTACTATGAAATAACCCAGTTTATAATGGTAACTTTTAATTGAATTTAGTCATTGTCAAACTATTGAGGGTAATGCTGAAATAATAGTAATAATAATAATAATAAAAATAACAATAACAATAATAATAATAAATGCAATCTTATATAGCGTATCTATGCGCTGCATCAATTATAACCCCAGTCATCGGAATTAATGCATGTGGAACAAACTATATCATCACTGCATGCACCAACCAGCTAACCATGTCAATAGACATCACATCTATGTTCAGCTTTCATTATTTAATTTATAATATACTCAATAAAAACTGAGTTTTTGATCTTGCCACTTTTTGCTTAACATTCAAACCTTTGATCTTGACTCTGCATTTTATCGTTATATAATATACTCATTACTGTAAATATATACTGTATCTATGCAGGTTGTTTTGTAGTTTGTTTTCATATAAATTGAAAGCAGAGTAAGCTTTACAAATGAAGTGTACATTCCATTATGTACGGTAACTAATATTTTATGTTTTCTGTTTAAATAATGCTATTCTTAAATTTCTCAAATATTTACTGTTCATATATATTTTGCTTCTAACTATAATTATGATATACTGTAAAGTAATAAAAGATAAAAATGAATTAACATTGTTAATGATATTTCAACTTCAGCTTATAACTATAAGATAGTTGTAAGTAATAAAATAACTTATATTGTAATTTATATTACCTTTTGAATGATTAATAATAATTACTGTATATAAAAAAAAAAAACAATTACTAATCCGGACTGGCACAAGTGCTGATTGTGCTGTGAGACATATTTTCATTAAAATAGTAGTTCACTATTCACTCAGAGAAAACCAATGCTTTGGGCTTTGCATTGAGGATTATATTTAGAATAAGTTGAAATAAAGATGCAAGTTAACAGTTTGTTTGATTGCTACTATGATGAGTTTCCAAGAAGTGAAAAATTAAATTGTTTCTAGTTATAAGGCAAGGCTTTTTTATGCCTTGTTTTGTGAACCTGTTGCTGGCCAATACTTATGATTTAAAATAAAAATAAAATTTAATTTTTGTCAATTAGCGCACCCGCCGCAAAAAAAAAAAAAAAGAAAGAAAATTCAGATTTATTTATAATTATTTATTATGCCCGCTGCACCCTTAAAATAAGATGTATATTTATTTCTAATTATACAAATTTAAAGCATTAAACCATACTGTTACTACACTGTTTATATTTAACAATAAAATTTTATTTTTATTTTCTCCTTAATCTGGATATTTTTGGCAAATCTATTTGCTAGATAAGAAAACAAAATTTTAATTTTATTTTTTTTACGCCCTCCTCTGGTGATCTTTAAAAAAATAAGTTTGCAAATCAAGGTATAAAAAAATCTGTCGCCTAAATGGATTTTGTATTGAAGATATAGTTGTGAGGTTTTCATTTCATTTTTTTTTCTGCATAAAAGGCTAATGGCAATGTGGAAGCGACTGGCGCAGCGGTCATGGCTCATCAACCTTGGGGTCGGGGTTAAAGCTATTGCTGTGCAAAAGTCGCTATGTACTTGGGCAAGACACCCCTTTATCCACATTGCCTCTCTCCACCAGGAGCATAAGTGGATAGCTAGGAAGTTTAAGTGCACCATCATTGCCACTGAAAGAAAGAATTCAAAACTCAAAACTACAGGTATCAGCTGCATTTACTGAGGACATTCACAAAAATTAAGGAAACCCAGAGTTAAAACTAGGTGGGGAGAACAAAGTTTTAGTGCGAGAGTAATTAATGATTGGAATAGCTTGTTAGCTGAAGCTATGGGTTCATAGACAATTAATCAATTTAAATCAAGGCTTGAAGAACACTAGCTAAATCATCACCAGAAGTTTTAACTGTATGTAAGAGACTCAGACAGAGGGGCAAATAAGCATTAATGCTTTAGCTTCAAGATAAAGGTAATCAAGGTACATATACCGTGGAGGTATTATTAAGAAGATCACTCGAAAATACTACGCGCACGCAGCGCTATGCAAATGAGCCGAGAACAAAGCTGCCGCAGCGCGTGAAGAACGTTTGCATGATACCTTTGAAATCTGATGTGTTATGTGTTCCCCGCCATCAAATTTTCAGCAGGCATAGTTTACCAAAAAATTGAACATGGCGAAATGGAGAGCACCTTCTTTTCTCGATGCGCACTACATACAGTCAATCACTATGGCTGCGCAATTATTTCCACAATAAAGCTAATACATTGATCTTTTAAGAAATACCAAACATAATAATATTTTCCAAAACAAAAAGTTTCGAATTTAATGAAACATTTACATCAGTTTTAAAGGTATGGTATATTTCATCTTGAATTTCCATAAATTGGATAAAACTCGATAATTCTAATTTTAACAGATATTAATTAAGGAGTGATGGAGGATTATAATAAACTAAGTCATTTTAGGGTTAACAATTAAAAAATTGAATCCAAAATCAGAGTAATTATAATGAACACAGAAGTAATTTTAACAGAAACATACAAATAATAACATACTAGAAGTCCGATAAAATCTAATCAGGGGAACACTGTTCATTAAAAAGATATTTAATAGGTTAAAATCAAACGTTTTATTGCACAACTGCTGAAGCGTATAAACGCATGTCGTTGCCAAGTTGTTGCTAACGAAAAATGTGAATTATGGGGTAATACGCCCGCGCGCGATCCAAAGGCGGGGAACACATTGGTTCGTCGCGTCAAAGGGATCTGTTGCCGAGTGATCTCCTTCTCAATAATACCTCCATGCATATACCAATCTTACTACTAAATAGTATACAGATTCTCCTGGTTGGTCCTGGTCTAGGCTAGGTCCTAGGATGGGAGGCCATGCCTAGGTTTATATTTTCACAGTAAATAAGCCAAGATAGTAAAGAATAGATGGGAAGACCATTTCTAAGCTCTTCCTACTGATACTGTGAATAATAATAATGGAACCAAAATAATTCTTGGCTTGACCAACTGGGGGGCTAGCCGGCTTCAAGTCAACTCGGCCCTTAACCGACTCGGACCATACCGACTCGGCCACTGCCAACTCGGCCCATAACCAACTTGGCCCATATACCAACTTGGCTCTTGCAAGCTCGGCCCATGCACCAACTCGGCCCTTACCAACTCGGCCCTTAACCAACTCGTTCCACTACCATTATTGAACGGCTGGAACTACTGTCAAATGTTTCAGAAAAGGTGTCTGCTGCCCTCTCCAGTTGGATGTACCATAAATGTTAAGTTATACAATACTCAATACTTAATAAATTTACAAATACAAATCTTGGGAAACAAATGTTTCAATATACTGAACTGATTCATTTTGCTTATCTATATACTGTACTGTCATGAAAAGCAGATGAACCTTGTGTGAAAATTCCGATATAAATGAACATGAGCACAAAAATCTTAGCAAATCTTATCAAACCGTTTTGCAATAACTTATTACAGTATAAACATACACAAGAAGATGATCCTATCATCATGTCAGTGTTATGACCTATCAAAGGCTTTCAATGTAATGAATAAATCGGATATTTTGATACAAAAGATTCATCATTAAAGATTCAGAAAATTTTATTTGTCCATAGAACAGATATAGAAAATTGTATTGCTTTGCATGCAGATGATGAAAACAAGGCATATTGTATATAGTGCCAAAATTATAAAAAAAATATATAAGAAAGTACACAGTGACAACAAAACATACAATGAATAATAATATACATTCGATATGACCGTTATTTTCGAT